CTAATCTCGTATTTGCAAGGTCCATGTTCCCATTTGTGAACTGTTAAGGATTCTGTCAGGTTCGCATTTGTGAACAAGTACTAGGGAGGGAACCATAATCGCAATTGTGAACAAAACCATTTCATTCTTGATGGTGGCAAAGATGGAGGACCTTCGCAATTGCGAAAGATTTCTCGCATTTGTGGGTTTCGCAATTATGAACCCCAAATCGCAATTATGACATTTGCGCCTGGACTTAAGAAGGGAAAAACAGAATTTTAGCCCATTCTTTCAAATTTTCAACCCTAAAGACCTTAGAGATGATTTTTCCAAGAACTCTTCTTCTCAATTCATTGGTAAGTGGCTCTAACCTACTTTATTTCAATTACCCATTATATTTCATAAGATTTCAACATTAAATCTAGGATTTTCATGGTAGAAATTAGGGACTTGGATAGAATTAGGAATTTTTGTAAAATTAAAATTTAGACCTCAAATTGAGGTTGGATTTCAAAACAAGTTACATAATCAGGCTCGGGGGTGAATGGGTGATCGGATTTTGGTCCAAATTTCGGATTTGGACCAAGCGGGCCAGAGGTTGACTTTTGTTGATTTTTTTAATAATGACCTAAATTGAATCTCTTTCATTCGTGGGTAGTTCCTAAGGCTTATTTTGAATTATTTTGGTTAATAATTTTTCAGATTTGGTTGGTTTGGAGGCTTATTCGAAGGTAAAGCTATGGTTGAGCTTTGAGTCGATTTTGGAGCGAGGTACGTATCGTGGTTAACCTTAACTTGAGGGATTAGGACTTGTTGCCTATTTTCTACCTGTTTAAATGTCTGGGTACAACATATATGTGAGGTGACGAGTACTTATGCGTTGTTGTTGGATTAAAGCATGCGGGTGGGACTTTTTTCTTATAATTTATTTTCTTCTTTGATTATGATATTCATGCTTAGACTAGTTTAATACATAATTTATCGCTTTTTTGCATTTATGAACCATTTGTGATAATTGAGTATTTTTGGAAGTTGAGGATTGGTATTGTGGAGCCGTTATTGACGTAATGTTTATTCCTGCTTATTCTATCTCCCAAATGTTATATATATTCATTGCTACATGGTAAGGGAGAGTGTTAAAGAACGAAGGGTGATGTCGTGCCAATTATTGTTTCATCTATTGATTTATACATAGTGAGAAAGAGAGTTTAAACACGAAGGACGATGCCATATCGTATTTATCATTTCATGATGAAATGCAGAGTAAAATCACCAAGGGTGATGTTGTGCTGTATTTATTATTTTATGGAGAGATTGAGAATAAAAGCACGAAGAGTGATGCCGCTCCATTATTATTATTTCATGGTGAGGTTAAGAGTAAAAGCACGATGGGTAATTTCGTGCAGTTATTATTCATTATGTTTATCCGTTTTCATTGGTTGAAGGTTTATTGACTGGTCCATGTTGTCATTTTCTGTTGTAGTTACTGTATCCTGTACCCCCTTTCACATGTCCCCTCCCACTAGTACGTGTTAGATCTCTATTAGTTGTTATGTTGCATATATATCCTCATCTGTGCAGGTTTAATTATGTGGGTATCCTATCATAGCCTTGCTACTACCTCGTCGAGGTTAGGCTTGACACTTACGGAGTACATTGGATCGGTTGTGCTCATACTACACTCTGCACTTCTTGTACAGATTTTGGTGCTGGTCTCAGCTGTCCATGAGGTGCATCAACTAGGATCAACTTATTTGGAGACTCGAGGTAGATCAGATAGTGTCCACTGACCTTGAAGTCCCCTTCCTCTTTTCCTATTTACTATTCATTTCATTCGAGACGATTATACTTATTTTAGACTCTATTTGTAGAACCTCTAGAAGCTCGTGTACTTGTGACTCCAGATCTAGGTTGTACTAGATAATTGGGTTATTATGCTACCTCCTACTTTATTTTAGTTTCTTTTCCGTTTAATTGGTTAAATTGTTCGAAGTGTTTAACAATAGGAAAAAGAATTACTCTAACATTGGCTTGCCTAGCGAGTAAAATTTTAGACTTCATCAAAGTCTCGAATGTGGGAATTTCGGGTCTTGACAATTCCTGAAGCGATTAAAAGGCTGACACATTTAATAAGTTACATGTATGTTACAATATCCTCATGTGATTAGTAAGGACATGGAAGGAGCTGAAACCAAGTATTATAAACCTAAACCACTTAATGTAAAACCTAGAATAAATACCATTAGTAAGTATTTGCTAAGATAATTCTATGCTCTCTCCACAATTTCAAGAAATCAATTAAGGCGTGTCATACTATTGTCAGTAGATGCGGATCCAGGATTTGTATGGTAGGGGCACCATTGCCATTAGAGTATTTTACCCAAAACTTTGTTAGCCAATAAAATAATACATATGAACTCTAGAATAGACCAGTAAATAAGCAACAAATCCACTATATAATATAAACGTGCTAAGAAAAAACCTAAAATAAAGTAAACGTGCTAAGAAAAAACCTAAAATAAAGTAAGAAAAGCTTACACTTCGATTTCATCAGACATCCCAATTGACCTGCAAATACAAACTTGGTTTTTATCCAACTCCCCATTTGACCTGCGAACACAAATTTTAAAATAAACTTTCCAACAAAAAAAATCCATGCACATCCTTGCGCACACATGGACTAAACTGAAATAAACATTAAAATATAAAACAAGCTTAGTGGCCTTAATACCATTTCAATCATTTTACTATAGAGTTTTAAATTAGCAATTTTCTTTCATGTTGCATAATTGGTGTTCAAATTGAAATTGTCAATCAATAAATTTTGAAGGTGTTTGACTCTCCACTCAAGGGCGGAGCTACGTACTAAATATAGGTGCTTCAGCACCCATTAAACTTTACACAGCATGGGTATAGTTATATAAGAAATTTGAGGTATTTGATATAAAAGGAAAAGAAAGTATCTACCAACCAAAAAATTAAGTAGTTACTACACATCAAGAAAAATTAAGCACCCAAGAACATAAAATCCTGGATCCGACACTGTCTCCACTATTTATAGCCACTAAAAAGTTTTGAAGCTTTGAATTCGAATTTGGATTTTCTAAAATTGTTATTATTTGGATTGGGTGTTGTTGCAAATAAGGGAATATTATTTGGAGTTTATATCTCAATTTTGAGGGTATTAGGTGAAGATTATACTTGATTTTGGCTGAATTTTAGAATAAAACTCTAATAATAATAATAATAATAAGAAGAAGAAGAAGAAGAAGAGGAGGAGGAGGGGAGGAGGAGGAGGAGGAGGAGATTGTAAATTGCATTGTGTTGTAGTTTTATGTATTTTTTTTATTTGAATGTTGTATGAAAGTTGAAAAATAGGTATATAATGTATGGATCATTGTATGAAATTTGTATTTAAGTTATAAATACTATCTTTTGCATAAAGTTGTTGATATGTATCCAAATTACATTAAGAGATAGATTTTTTGATTGGAATTTCATATAGGAAGAAGAATACACCAAACAAACTATATACAAATCATTTACAAAATACATATAAAAGACATATTGTACAAATTTTGTATAAAATTGTATTTAAGTTGTATGATATTATAGTTGTATTTAACTGAGTAAAAATGGTGTATGAAAATTGTAGATAAATTATAAATAAGTTGTATACTATATAATTTATTTTTAATTTGTATTTTGTTATAGATGTATTAAATTTCTACAAAATTTATTTTTAATTTGTACATTGTACCATGCCATTATATATTAACCATCATTGATATAATCGAAGCCTCATGTAATAATCATGATATTACATTTCAGAGTACAGATCAATGTTTGTTAATGAAATTCCTAAGTCTACTGGGAATTTGCAAGATGGGCAACCAGATCTACTTCTCCTAATAAAATTGGGCCAAAGGAAAAATTTAGTTTTGCATGAATTACTTGCTGCAAATTTCAGTTAGGGCCAGCGTTCAGAGTTCTCAATTATAAGGAGAACTCACAAAATAGAAAACAGATTAATTGAAAAGGCAAAGGTGAAAAAGAGAGCCTTCGGATAATCAACTCATGTCTCCTCAAATGCAAAGTTCCCTTTTTTTCTTTCGTTATTACGGGAGAATATAGCAATTTAGTCATAATACAGAGATTGATCGAAAAAGCAAATTATGCTGCAAAATTTAGAGCCGAGAAGAAGTAACTGAGTAGGCGGTAAAAAAAGGAAAAGAGGAGAGGAGAAAAAAAAAAGGAAAAGAGTGTGACTAAATCATTTAATTTAAGGCACTAATGATGGATTGTATATAACTTGTAAGCAAGCTTCAGTTAGGGCGGGCAATATGCAAATCTAGGATAATTTTGGTAAATGAATTTCAAATATTGTATAGGAACAAAAAAATCCCAAAACGTAAACCCTAGCGTGCTCTAATCTGCCGCTCACTTGGTCCACATATAAAGATGTCAAAAGTTTCCAAAAGAGCGGATGCTATTTTAAGCTAACGAAGATGTAAGTTCTTGGCACTTTATAGATCCTTTTCGCCAGAGAGATTATGATACAATCTTACCTGAACAGGATTTGTTCTATAGGCTCGTACCACCTTATCCTTGAGTTCTAATCTAACTAATATAACCAGAAATTGAGTGCAATGAATATCAAACTCGAATTTCATAAGAAAGTGTAAAATGCCGCTGAACTATAGTGATTTTTGAAAAAGAAAATTAAAAAAAAAAGGACTTCCCAATAATTTTTTAGCTTCCCTTTCGCTTCTCACCAAAATAGGACATCTTGAACTATTTCCTTCTAATATGTAGGAGTGATGTGTTCCCAACGATATATACTACTATTATCTTACTGGATTACCAAGATTAGTTGTTAGTCTAATAATGACAAGATATGTTGCTTAAGTTGTGTTAGTAGATGAGGAAAAATGTTAAAAGCTAGTAGAAAAAAAAAGGGCAACTAATGAGTCATTGAACACACTCTAAATTGCTCCCAAGTTCTACCAACCAAACGCCACCATCTCTCTCTCTCTCTCTATATATATATATATATGTATAAAGCTAGGCATGGAAAAGGTGATGTAGCACTTCTCTATGCCCAGCAATTGTATTTTTCTTTTTTCTCCTTTTTTTTTTTTGAATTTTTCCTCCATTCCTCTAGTTCACTCTATTTTAATTTGTTAATATTTACCTTCTCCTTAAAGTCTTCCTTTTAGTAACTGCTGAGAAATCATTGAAAGAGGTACCTAAGCGTTTCTGATAAAGTGAAACGGATTCGTGATACTAAAAATGCATCTATATCTATATATAAATATAAAGTAGGGACATAAGTCTGCCTGCGTGTCACCTTTCATTACCCAAGAATCTCAATTATCTCCATTCTCCTTTTTTCCGGATTTTTCCTTTTAAGTGCTCTATCAAAATTCTAAAGTTACCTTTTATAATAACAATCCTAATAATTGTGGCTCTTCACACGTCGCTTCACTTCCTCTTCCGTTACAGCACCTCCTTCGACCGTTTCTTCCTCTTCTTTCGTCAGTTAAATATCCATCTCTCCCTTCGTTCTCTCCGTCGGATAACGTAAATCTCCTCTAGATTTCAATTGCTTGATTCTTCTTCTATTTTTATGTATTTATGCAGATATTTAAATTAATTACATATGTTGTAAATTTTGAGCAAATTGATTCCAGACTTTTTGTATTTTCCTAGAGTTTATTTGTATTGTATTGATTAGCTTTACTTTCTTTGTTAGTGTTTATAGGTTGGTTTCAAATAATGGTGCTCTGGAAGAACCAAACTTAATTCTTTTTATAACCTATAATGAGATATGCTCAAGTGAGAATAAACAGGCTTTTGAAGGTGCCGGGAGTTTCAAGTGATGAAGGCAAAAAATTGATGAATTACATTCTTAGTTTAATCTCTTTTGCTGGTATTGTGACTATTGTTTCGAATTTATTTTGAACAGGAAAGATCTCTTCGGATAAAGTATGGTGAAGTTAAAGAAAACTGGAATTGCCAATTCGAGAACAACTGTTACACATGCACTATTTCACCGAATTTTTTTCTTTTTATTGTTGTGATGTTGTGCTTTTACTCACTGTGCCACTAAGTTTTTTTCAAGAAAATTTTTCGTATTTCTTGTGATGTGTGTTTAAATTTCTTGATTGTTGCTTGAGTTTAGGATTATTTTTCAGCATCTGCAAGTACTACTCTCTTTCAAATCATATTCTAGCTAATGTGTTTGTAGTGAACCATCAGTCGATAATGTCTAAGGTGTATGTGCATCTTCATCACTATTTCTTAAGGTCATAATTTTTCTTCCATGACAACATATCTTAAAGCTATTAGATAACTACTGAAGCATATCAAATTGTGAACGTTGATCGGTACGGAGAATATGGCATTTTTGCAGGTTGAGAGTTATGGTTGTTGCTGAATTATATTAAAGCCAAACAAGCAACACTACTGAAATGTGAAAGAGAAGGAAATAATGGGTGGTAGAAGCAGAATTCCTCGAAGCTTTCATTAGTGCAATACCTATGTTTCAAATTCTTATTTTCTTAAGTTGTTATTTGCAATGTTTTTGTTTCTTAAATAGGAGTAGTATAATATTATAAGTACTCTAATTTTCAATACTTCTTCTATTTAGTATAAAGTGTATGAGTAAGAGTATTTCTTCAAAAGTTCAGTTTTGAAGGGTTCAAACGATGTTATTTCCTTCAAAAGATACTTGTATTAGTTTCCTGCTGCAAAAGGCCATGTTCAATGTAAACCTTCAGATAGTAAGATTGAAAGTCGGTTCATTTGGACGAAGCTAAAGGTTCATATTTCAATTTTTGGCTTTTATTTTCAAGTGCTTAAAGGTGAGTTTTAACTTATATGCACTATCATTAAAAGTTTAAAGGACTATATTTCAGGATCAATTGTAGCTTACCGCTTATAATGAGTTACTTACCTGTTATAATAATTTATGGTAGATCACAGAGAGATGATTGATTAATGTAAATTGATTCTTTATAAGAAATAGTAGACTTTTTTTGAAAAGTTTCTTATTAACCGCGGGTTAATTGACTAGTTATGGATAAAAGCCTATTTTAGATTAGAATCCCGTCCTCTGTTACGAGTTATGTTCCCCTCCTGACGTCCACAACCTCCAGCAAAATAAAAGCCTCATGAACATGTACAAGTAAAAATATATGTACTCCCTCCGTTTCAATTTATGTGAACATGTTTGATTGGACACGGAGTTTAAGAAAAAATGAAGACTTTTAGAATTTGTGGTCCTAAACAAGTCAAAAGGGGGTCCAGAGTATTTGTGTCGCTGTAAAAGCTGCTCATTAAGGATGAAATTGGAAGTTTAAGTTAAATTGTTTCCAAATTTAGAAAAGGGTCATTCTTTTTTAAACAGACCAAATAGAAAATAGGTTCGCATAAACTGGAACGGAGGGAGTATTGTTTAAAGTTAGTCTTGCGGCTCAATTACAGTGATCACAGCGAATCAAAAGCCACTACTTAGCGATTAGCGAAACTCTGAGGTCAGAACAGAGCATATATATTGGCCAAAACTTAAAGCACATTAGTAGACAAAGGAATTGCACAAAGAAGCCTAGATATAAGCCTCAAATTCCTTCTAATAATATAGAATTAATGTGTTTAATTTATCTATAGATACAGTTATGGAGGAAAGCATATCATTTTGGATTTGATAAATGGGTGTTACAAGAATGTGATTGTAAGTGCTTTCATTTATAATACATACGCACTGCATAGTTTCTCTTTTACAAGCCATTATGTGTTTTTATATCTCTTAACATACTGCTCCAGCCTATGCTATCAAGAATTTGGTGCAGCACTTTATTGAAGCCATAGCACACATCATTGCACCAAAACATGACTACACATTGATTGCAGAGACGTGTGTCTATTTGATGTGTGCAATCAATGTGTAGTCAACATTTAGTAAAGATTTAGATACTTGACAGCTTCTTCCCCCCCCCCCCCCC